CATAATGTATGTGGTTAAGGGAGGCGAACCGAGGGACCACCTAGAGGCAGAGGAGTCGTAAAATCTTTGGAATGGTTCTCTCGCGATAACTCTGCCTGAGACCACCAAGACTGCAGGCTATTTGTCACCATTAGCAAATAGGAATCTCAAGTGAAGATCGGGCTGCATCTATCCTTAAAAGGGTAACAAGAAGCGACAGAAAACTGTGTGGACCAATTTGTGATATTCAACGAGAATTATACTGGTTACTAACGAAACCAGTAACAAGCATATTTCCCAAACAAATCACTAAAATGACAAATAAACATGAAGAAAAAACACCGAATTCAATATGAGGATCTTGTAACAATGCAGTAACGACGAACAATTAGTAAGATTACCTGTCTGGGAAAACTTCGTAACCAGTTTGCACTATTGAAGTAAGCTAGCGAAAATTAATATAATAATTCTTAGCAAACAATGTCAGGTACTTTTTAAGAAAACCTGAATCAGAGAGGAAGAGCAGCTGGGATGCGCACATTTATGCGTAGCGTAGGTTTAGCACGAGCTAGGTCCTTCTATTGCAAGAAGTGAAGGCCTGTGTCAGAAAGTAATGCAAAGAAAAGTAAGGTTGTGGAAGGGTGATCCCTACTATTACTGCACCTGCTTGCTGAATGAAAGGGCGTTTCTAAGATCGTATATCGTTTTACAGACTTGCTTGGCCTGTTCAAAACCATGAAGGGATGCAGGTCCGGGTGGCTAGGACAGAAAATGACTTTTTGGCATCTCGCAGCGCGGTCCACCACTGGAATGATTGGACCTAGAATTACCGTAGCAAAAAAACTTTTGGACTCTGGAAAATTTGTTTCCTGTCCTAGAGACCCACACTGTAGGATATCTCCTATTTACGCCTTATCACTGAGCTCATACGCATTACCCACCTTACCTGCATTTGCTGCCGTTACGCCACAATTCTTAGGAAAGAATAGTGAAATAGCAAAATTCTGCACCAAAGCGCATTTTTCAAAACTACAGATCGGTATCTTTACCACCTTCATGAACGCTAAGTGGGTATGATCACTCCAATATCGAGTAGGGGTCCATAAGATGGAGCGGGCGCAGCCTTGTAAGGAGAAAACATGAAAGGTCGTGCTACAGACCGAAAATTGAACGTAAGCTCAGTAACCATCCATGCTGGAGCACTTCATTCCCTGAGAGGTTGTGGTGCTCGCGCGCTACCCAATTCAATCAATAACAAAAACCGTGTGGTGAGAATAACAAATTTGTAACGAACTTCAAGTAAGTTATAATGCGAAAAGTGACAAAAACGACTAAGTCGGTGTAACCTGCGAATTTGGCGAATCGACTGGAAAACCTTCGGACATTAGAAACTCTGTCACATCATCCCATGAATGCGAAACATCCAAAGACAGCTGACAATCCATGGGCGCGGTGGTGTCGGTGAGAAGAGCATGATGCGGGTCAGTCTGTGGCATGGGACTCGCTGCAGAGGATTCGTCACCAAGTGGTGAGCCTATTGACGACGATGAACCCATAAATGAGCTGGTGTCGTACAAAGGTGCCGGACCTTCAACAAATGTGGTATAGAAAGGGCGAAGAGCAAACAGAATAGATGAAAGAAAGGTTAATTCGGTGTCTCACTTTGCGAATCAAGAGATTCGCTAGCG